ATATTCTGTTAAAATGGTATTCAGACATAACTTAATATAAATAGTAATGTTATAATAACAACAGAATATTCTCTCTCTCTCTCTCTCTCTCTCAATAGACGAAAAAGAAGATGAAACATATTTTTCATACTAAATGTAAGAAAAAAATAAATCAATTGCTATAAGAATAGCATTCTTCTACTTCTGTATAACCACTCCATTAATATATGTCCACTAAAACTCCAACCACTCAAACCACTATCATATCAATCATTAGATTTAATCATATCTTTATTATTATAAGCGATTTTGTGGCACATTTTATTAGAGATTATTTTTATTGTTATTGAATAAAAGTAACTGAAATTTTGTGAATAATATTTGCCTCAATTTATTTAATTAAAAAATAATTTTCTGTGTTTTTATTTTAATGTCGAAATAATGTAAAATTTAATTAATTAAAAAATAATCTGCATTTTATGTTTTTTGTCGTACTCTAAAAAACTTTTAATTTAATCAATTTTAATTAAATAATTAGTTTTTTGCTGTTTTGTGAGTTAATTAATGTAAAAAATGTTACATAAAAACGGCAAGAGATTTATTGATCAATTAAAAAGAGAGTAACGTTGAGAGAGAGAGAGAGAGAGAGAGAGAGAGAGAGAGAGAGAATCGTGGTCAATTACCTGAGTCGCAATGGCATACATATCGGTCGGATGAGTCGGTGTTAAGCTCGCAGATGCCGTGATTACCGCACGGCTTACGGTTGCATAGAGTCAAGTGACAGAATATTCCGGTCCAGAATTCAGTGCACCGGCAAAGGCTGTCATTGCGCTCATTGCGGACACACTCCCCACCATTCATACACGGCTTGTACTCACACGTGTTTACCGGCAATTTTTGGGGCAGATTTACCGACTCATTGAAAAACATCGCATCTGTCGGTCACGTAATCGCCAATACATATGCACAGCAATGGGCGGCAAAGATAGACGAGAAAAATAAAATTTTATATAATTAGTTAATTGATAATATGGTCTGTTTTTTGGCGATAAAATCATTGAATTGCATGTGTTTTTAATATGTTATTAAAACGCTTTTTTCGCATTCAATCGCAAAGTTCAAGGCTTTTGTGATTTTATAGTTTTTTGTATTTTATGTTTGAGTTGTGGTCAGAATTTATTAACAGTTAATACTATAGTTATTGTATTTATTTATGTCTTGTTTTCACTATATTTTGATGTATGAAATGTTTGAATGGAGAGTTGAGAGCAAAAAGTCAATTACTTTTTATTATTTTACATATCATTTGAGCGTAATTTAAATTTAACGCATATTTTATGGGATTTAAGTAAAATAAATAGTTATATAAAATACTGAAATGAAGCCTAAGATATGACCAATTTTTATATACGAATTAATGCCACGAATTCAAAGAAAAAGATTACATCAAAAATAAATCGTAAGATTTTTTGTAATAAAAAATAACAACTTTTTCAGTTGTGATTCTTGTGTGTATTTTTGGTCATAAACTCATATTAAATGCAATAAATTCTTATACATTATACGTATAGTAAAATGTGTTTAAAAATAAATTCCTACATAAAAGTTGATGTGAACTTCATTTCAATAGCAATTCAAAACTTAATATAACATTATTTATAAATTATATTATGTTATATAACATACATATAGTGATACACAGAATATGTATACAGAATTTGTAATATAAATATAACTAGATTTTAAACTATATTCTTTGAATAGAAATATATAGCATCAAAGATAGCGGGACTCAAACCTAGCATTAATAATATATTCAGAGCCTATACATCAAAACATATGGTAAACATGATTTATATGATATGAATTGAGCAAGATTCATTTACCATTTTTCACTTTATAGTAAAACATGAATGAATTCCTTTGCTGAATGGCTGGCCTTATGTGCAAAACATTAAACTTTGATTTAATAACTTTCGTTTCGGTGGAGCGAAGAGTGGAGAATGTTTTGAACGGTTCGGACGACTCGCTACACACCGACCAGACGATGGGGTTGGCCGGAGTGAGCCGTACGTCACCGAACGGGTCGATGGCGTTCAATATGAGCCGATCGGTGGCCAACTCACAGCGCGGGCCGTCATTGATCTTCATGTACGTGAGTCTCGGCAGCCGGAG